CCCATGGCAGGGGGGTTAGAACTAGATGATTGTTAAGGTCCTTTCCAACTCTAGCCATTCTATGATTCTGTGACCACTGCTAGTCGTGATCCCCTAACTTTTTAAATTACTTTTTTTCAGTATTATTTTTTAAAGGAAGGTGTACATAGTCTTATTTTTTCCCATACAGTAACTGGCTTCTTTCTTCTTTGTGGTCTGGAGGATAGCGATGGGGATGAGAAGCCCTGCAGCAGCAGCCCTGCTCTTCCCACGCTATTCACCTGCTGAAGCTGCAAAGCTCTGGTGAAGCCCTCCCGCCCCTTGTCTAGGAGCAGAAGCATTACCCAGGGCTGGCGAGGAAGGACATGGTGCCCAGTGACAGGACAAGAGGAAATGGGCACAAACTTGAATATAATAAGTTCCATCTAAATATGAGGAGGAATTTTCTCTGCTTTGAGGGTGGCAGAGCACTGGAACAGGCTGCCCAGGGAGGTGGTAGAGTCTCCATCTCTGGAGACATTCAAAACCCACCTGGACATGTTCCTGTGCAACCTGCTCTAGGTGGACCTGCTTTGGCAGGGGTGTTGGACTAGATGATCTCCAGAGGTCCCTTCCAACCCCACATCATTCTATGATTCTGTGACGAAGAAGACTCAGCTCTTTCCTCTCCTCGTGTTCATAACATTGCAGGAGTGAGAAAGGCAACCCTGTTTTGCTAGGACATTGGAGGGAGGGCATGGACCACAGTCTCACTTTCAATATGGGCTATGCCATCTTGGTCTCTTCTCAATGTTGGTTAGAGGGGGATGCTTTAGGAAGAGATGGAGGGAAGGTTTTGTGGCTAGCGATGCCTGTGGGGACCAGAAAGGCAGGTGCATGCCTGAAAGCGTGCGGTGTCGTTTGCCGTTCCTCCGAAGGGTGGTATTTAAATGCCTGCTCGTGGACGACCTGCTTCCCGCTGCCGGCTCCGTCTCTCCGTCTTAAAGACTTTACAGAGTTTTTGGGTGCGGTTCACTTTGAAGTTTGAGGGGAAAAATGAAATGCTGAAAGGTAACAGCTCTACCTTGTCAGCGTTCTGCGGTGTGTTTTGAATGTAAGTCTGTCAGGGGTGTGGGAAACTCCAGTCGTGCTGGGAGCATCTGAAAGGCTCTGCTCTTCTACCATGCAATAGTCTGGGGAAAAGAAACCCTCACACGCCTCCCCCACCCCTCCTTCTCCTTCAAACCTGTCTACCTCCTCCCACCACAACACTTAGGAGTAGTAATAACATAAGGGAATTGTACTTGAATTTTGTGGTTAGGGCTTTAGGCTTTGTTTTTGTTGTGATTTAAGACCTGTAATTGTATGATGCTAATTCCAACTTCAGAAATGCATCGGTCAAGCTCTGTATTAAAATCATCTAGCTGATTTTTTTTGTCCCAATTGTCCCTGTTAGTTCAGAAGCTTTCTTTATTATTTTTTTTTAGTGGTTAGAAGCCATATGTTTTCTGCATAAATGTATTTGATCTGCCTGACTCTGGATCCTTGCTTTTGGACTGGGCAGATCTTTACCCCCCTGCCCCTTCTGGTGTTGCTCCCCTCGTGCTGGTAGATGGCAGCAGTATTGCCTCTCATGCCCCATTTTATTGGTGTAACAGAACTGAGTCCTTCAGTTCTCTCCATTGTGTAGGTCCCTTGTCTTCTCCTCATCATTATACTCCTCTTTCTCTGCAACTCTGCTAATTTGAACCTTTGCTTAAATTTAAATAGCCTGCCCTCGTTTACAGAAATTGGGAATTCCTCAGTGGCAGAAGGGGAGTGTGGACACAGGCAATAAACCCTTTTTTTCTCAAGCATGCTGCTTGGGTGACTCGTGGTCACCAGGAGATAGGCCTGGTATGTTGTGCCTCCCCGGGCTTTTGAGTTCTGAATGTTTAAAAAAAAATCCTTTTTTGTGGAGTAAAATGAGATTCAGATTGCAGTGTACCCTTTGGAGCTGAAGTGGTAGAGACCATTAGTCTTACTAAAGTACAGTATGTTGGTAAAAGGAATAGCGTGATGGCTTCTATATTTGAGCACATTAATCACTGAACAATGTTCATCTTCACATTTCTAATGATACATCTAATTGCAAGGTTGATAGCTTTTCATTTTTTTTTTTCCTGCTTATTTCTGTGGTGCTATTCAAAATTCATTAAGGTTCATTATTCTGGTAGGGTTGAAAATGGCTGCTAGCTATTTCGAGACCTACAGCTTCTGTGATTTACTTCAGTGATGATAGGAGATGGTCAAGAATAACTTGGCAAGGACAGTATTTGGACATGGTGATTTGTTGAAGTTCTACCTTTTTGTGTCGATATCCAAACCTGAGCAGTAGCCTTTTGGGTACAGTCTCTTGATGCTGTGGGGGTGAATTCCAGGCCCTGACTGGAGGAGAGCTGGTGTTGGGGCAGTCACCTGCGAGATGGCAGGTGTGACCAAGCTGCTGGTTTGGGAGCTGGGGGGGAGGTGGATTTTAAACCATGTTTTATTCTGCACACCAGGGAGTGCCAAGACTAGCTGTGTTCTGCCTCCCGGGTTGTCTCCCCCTGCCTCTGACCCGTTTGTGAAGGTCTTGACTCATGTCGGTGATGATGTTCTCAGGGGGCTGTCAGTGTTATTTATCAGGAGGTTGGTGTTTGATAGGTTTAATTGCTGTGACACCTTCAAAACAAATTCTCTCATCCTCCCAACAGTTTGGTGGTTGTGCAGCCAAGCAGACACTGATGAGCAACTCCTCTGCTTTGTCTTTGTTACACTCAGGGTGTAGGCAGCATCTCTTTCTCTAAAGCTCTGAGTCTTCTTCCTTGTTTACCTGCACAATGTGCTCATTCTCCACAGCTCAGTTGACATAACCCATACTTTTGGGAGGTTACTCTTGAGTTTTGGTGCCTGGTCAGACCAATCAGGGCATGTTGCCTTGGTGTTGGTGTCAGTTTTGTTCATTACCTGGCAACAACTTGTTTTTTCTGCTCTGCTGTGTTCTTCCACTGCCTTCCCTGCCTGTTTCTCAGACTCTGCAGAACCTCAAGTACTGACCTGGTAGTTGCATGTCTCTTGTTTAACAAGTAGTTCCTCTCCTTCTTGCAATGGGACTTTAACCTATGGTCACTTGCATGCAGAAGAAATTATGACTTCTCAAGGCCTTGGGCTTTTGGTGCTAATGTGGCACTTGATTTATTAATTGACTAAAAATGCCATGTTTAACCAACTTTCCCTGTAGGGGCATTGCTTGGGAAGGAAAAGTTAAAGCCCCTCCTGAAGTTGCATCCCCAACATGAAGCTCTACCTTGGCCACGTGTGCTGGCAGCCCCTTGGGTACCACAGGAGCTGGTGCAGAGGCGAGGTTGCCTGTCCTCCATCCTTCCCAGCCCCCTCTGCTCATCCCCCACCGTGTCATGTCCCCCATCATCGTTGTCACGTTGTCTCCCCTGCCCCAGCAGAACAGCCCCTGTTAGACTTTGGGGCATAACCTTCACGGTGGGAGACACTTGCCATCTTCTGGATGTGGTAATGTGAAGCCCACAGCCTGCACGGGGAATACCTTGTTCAAATATTTTCCTTGAATGAAGCCGTGTTTACAGACTGATAAGAAATACTAGAATCCTAGGGACCTTCAAAACAGAAGGTTGTGGGGGATTCTTGCGTTTGCTTTACTTTTTTTTTTTTTTTTTTTTTT